ACAGCAACCTCAAACTCTTGGGCTTCAGTGATTCTCTTGCCTCAGTCTCCCAAGTAGCTGGGACTATAGGCGTCCACCATGCCTGGCTATTTTTTGCTGTCGTTGCAGTTGCCATTGCTGTTTAGCAGGTTTGGGCCGGGTTCGTACCCACCAGCCCTGATGTACGTGACAGGCGCCCTAACCACTGAGTTACAGGCATCGAGCCTATAGTTTGGTTTTATGTGAAGAGGATTGGGGAGCCATGAGCAGATTGAGTTAAGGCTGGGGCAAGAATAACAGGGCTGCTAATAGGATACACTACTATGTAACAGATGAAGCAATGCCTGAGGACTATCCAAGGTCATGGAGTTGTCAAAGGTCATACACATGTGGCTGACCCAGAGGTCAACCCAGGGCAATCCGGGTGAAGTTTGAGATCCTTCTCCCACATCCTAGGGAGTCCTCAGTGACTCGGTCAGAGGTTCCCTTTGGCCTGGCTGAATTGGCAGGCCCCTCCCCACTGGGGGTAGGGAAGATGGAGACACTACAGGGAGGTGAAACTAGGGCCCTCTGGCCCAGCTATTTGCATCAGTCAATTTCCACAGAAACCACAAGCCTTCTGAAAAAGGTCTTTTGCCAAGGTCAAGGACTGAGCTCAGGTCCTCTGGAGTTTGTGGAAGCATGTAATAAGCAATGGGGAAGGTCCAAGAAAGGAGAGGTTTGGGTACCACCAGGAGTCCTGAGGCTATCCTACCCCACCCAACTGGGCCACACAGGGTGCCACAAGCAACCTGGTAACCGTGGTGTGATCTCTGACTATAACCTCAGAGCAGAAGAGCAGGGGTCTGAAGTGCCACAGCTGCTTGGAGACCCCCAGAACACTTCGGGGGTCTGGTGGGCAGCAGTGTAGTGATGATAATGTGCATCATACAAGTAGGAAAATAACGCTCAGAGAGGGGAGGTAGGCTACCCCAGCTACAGCCTATGGTTGGAGCTCAGACAATCCCCTGATGTGTCCAGCCTATCTCTGTCACCTCTCAGAGAAGGTTCTGTTACTGCCCCACTCCCCATTTTAGAAGGATCAAATTGATGTTAGAGAGGTTAAGCCACTTGCTCAAGGCTACAGAGCTGAGTAGAGACTAGATGCTGAGCTTTCTGGCCTTCCAAAGGTGAATGTATCCTCAGAAACAGTGACCCCAACCATGCCCTCAGCAGCATTTCTCCGAGGGTGACAGCAGATCAAATATCGCAGGCTATTCCACCCCATGGCCTCCCCATATGTCCATCCTTCCCAATCCTCTGAGGCCCTTGGCTGCAGCCCTCAATACCCAGCTAAGCCATGGAAGAGACCCTTCCAATGTTCATCCAATAATCTTTTATTATCAGGCACCACAGCTGGCCTGGGACCTGGAGATGAACAAGCCATGTGCCCTGATCCTCAGCCACCTGAGACCCATTTTATGGGTGAGAAAAATGAGCAGAAGCCTGAACTTGTAGGAGCAGGCACCAGGGGTCCCAACTCTTCCAGGATGGCCTGCCCTGCTCTGAGAATGGCCCACAGTAGCTTCCAAGTTTCAGATAGGACAGTGAACACTGGGGTATGTCCTTCTCTCATGGTAGGAAAGGGACTTGGGTGGGAGAGGAAGGGCAGGACAGGGATGTCAATGCTGGCAGCTGGTGAGGAGAGGGCTGAACCTGGGGAAAACCAGGACCCAGGGGTTGCTTTCTACCTTATAACTCCCCAGTATTCCCAGTCCCTAGGGCCTGTTAAAAAACACCTCTTACTCTGGGGGTGTGGGGAGAACAGACATGATGGGGGTGAGTAGCAGGACATGGATTGCTCCCATTCTTGAGTCACATGACTCACTCAGTCACAATCCAGACTGGGTCTGGGGTCATAGTGCCAAGTTGCCTTTCTGGCCTGTCCACAGCTCTCGGAGCTCAACATGACAGCCCAGATCCCGCAAGGCAGCCTTGGCCACGTCCTCACAGTCGCGGTGGGCTGCTCGAGCCTGTGTGATGAGCACCTCGGCCCCCAGCTCTAGGATAGGCTGTGAGAAGACCTGGCTTCGAGCTACCAGGTTGCGGATCAGCATGCAGGCCTGTTTCTGGAAGAGAAAGCAGCGGTGAGTTGGCAGGTGGGGCCTTTCGGGGATGGCCATTCTGATCTCAGGGTCCTTATTATAACATGGGGACAAGGATGACTGTGTTTGACATTCAGCACTGCTTATATGGTGCCAGAGCTAGGGAGCTCTGGAAGGCAGGCCTAAAGACCTCATCTCTCAGGTGAGGAAACAGGCTGGGCAGCATTGGGGGCTGATCCTACAGGTGTGGAATTCTCAGCCTCTGAGAATTTGTTCCCCCTCCCCCGGTCCCCTGCCCACCTGCACGCCAGCCTCCTGTGGGTGCGCCTTCATGGCCCGCAGGGCTGCCAGGGCCCCACCGCCCTCCATGATGACCCGGCTGTTCTCTGGCTTGCGCAGGGCCAGGACACACAGGGCTGCGCAGCTCTGCTCACACACCTGTGGGGTTAGTCACAGGATAGCTGAGATGCAGAACAGACCCTTCCATCCTGTCAGCCCATGGTGGCCACCATCCCAATGAGTGTCCTGTGACCTCATATGTAATAATAGTATGAGAGCTGAGTGACCAAAACATTGACTGAGCTCTTAGAGGTATTGAGGGCACTAGCCCTACTCAGATCTTTGTTGGGTGCTGGTGCTAACTCCAGGTCATGCAGAGTCATGCACACACAGGGTCAGCATCTGAGAGCCAGCACGTGGGCATCTCACCCAGGCCCTGGCCCTGAGAAAAGAAGCTTCATGCATATATGGACAATGACCCTGGACTCCAGCCATCTTCCACCCTGTGTGGCCCCTGAGGTGGGTACCTGGGGGCTGGCCAGGTGCTGGGTCATGGTGGCTATGATGGACTCTGTCCCACCAGCATGTACGATGGCATCCTTCACGTCATCATTGCCTGCAATGGCACGCAGGGCACTCAACACTTGCTTCACAAGGTCCTGCATGAAGGCAAGGCATGGTTGCTCCCATTCAACACCCCTCTCCTGCGTTATGCCAGGCACAGATGTAATGGTTGCTGGACTGTGACGAGGGAGTTCAGAGGAAAGACCTGGGGCTATTGTGCTGTTTGACGTACAGGCGAGGTGTGACTACAGGGTTGCTTCCCATTACACAGAGAAAGGAGAGATAGAGACAGGTGGTTCAGGCTGCCTGTGTCTAGGTGTGCCATTTGGGCTACCTGATCCCCAATTCACTTAGGGACAAAGAGGGCATGTGACTCAGCCCAGCATTAGAGCCCAGGGCCCCCTGGCCATGGCTACAGACTCAGGGTGTGCACTGATCAGCCTGCGCTGAGGACAGCCAACAAGATGCTGCTGGAACTGCTGACCACCCCACTTGGGGCAGAGCAGAGACAGGCAGGAAACTAAGGCTCACATCACCTGACTGTCCAGGACTACAAGTAAAATGCATTCCCTCATTTGCTAAAGCCAGTTCCAATTCAGTTCCCTGCCACCTGCACAGATCCCTGGTTGATGTCAATGGCTGGGAGTGGGGACAGAAGGTCATGGTGCCCCTGGGGGACCTTTCTTGCAGCCATACCCGAGCAGGTGAGTATTAGCTTGCTCTCTACCCTGGGTAGGGCACATGAAAAGGGTGTTGATAAGTGGCTTCTAAATGAAGGAGTGATGAGTAGAGGACCTCTGCCCTCTGCAGATAGGGAAATTAAGGCCAGGTGGGTAGGGCCTCATCCAAGTTATCATGTGCCAGGGTCAGGGCCCAGTGCTGGCCACTACCTTGTCCCTCCCACTCGGCCACTACCCTGTCCCTCCCACTCGTGGTACAAAAAAGACATTAAAGCAGGGTGGGTGGATTTGTTTTCCTCCCAAACCTTGGTTCTTACCCACAGGTCAATGAGAAGAAAACTGTACTTTGGTTTTGGGCTTGATAGGGCCAGCTTGTTCAGACTGTGGCTTGTCCTGCTGGCTAGGACCCAGAGGAGCAGAGTACAAGGGGCCAGTGGGGATATGCACCCAAAAATGGCTCTTGGCTCCTACCTGGTGGTCACTGAAGTTGACCAATAGGGACACCAGGACACTCAGGCCCCCGAGGTCAACGATCTCCTGGCAGAACTCATTGCGAACAGCTAGGCGGGCCAGTGTGCTGCAGAGCTCACTGAGGACTCCAGGATTGTCAGAGAATGCTGTGGGGAGGGAGGAAGAACACAACAGGCGAAAGGGACCTTGTGAGCGGGAAGACAGGAGAGAACCAGCCCAGCATTTGATGAGGATCCTGCTCTACTGAGGTATTCCAGCTCCTCTGCCCTTGCACCAGAAAGGCCCCAAGAACCACTGAGAACACTGCCTGGGCCTGCAGTGCCTCCTGTTGGCTTCTGGGGAAGACTGGACAATGCACCCCACTCCCAACTCCCTCTTCCATCATGCCCCATATAAATGCCAGACCAACTGATGGTTACACCTCCATCTCTCCAGAAAATAAAAAATATTATTTGGGTAGGGTGGCGCATGCCTGTAACCCCAGCTACTTGGGAGGCTGAGGTAGAAGGATCATTAAATACAGGAGTTGGAGGTTGCACTGAGCTATGAACATGCCACTGCACTTCAGTCCCAGAGACAGAGTGGGACTCTATTTAAAAAAAAAACAAACCTCAAAACAACAAAACCAAACAAATTCCTTTGTATATACATACCTGTCTCTCTGGTGAAACCTTAATTCATTGGCGCTCTTATAAATAAGAAAGATGCAAACTACTTCCCAGAAAAGTAGCCCAACTTTTCAGAGGGTTTGGCCCCATTGTCAGCTTCTTTGGAGGTGTGGAGGGGAGAATGAGGCAGTCTCTGGCAGACAGAACTGGCATCATACACACAGGCCTAGCCATAGAGCCAGAGCCACAGGGAAGACAGGGAAGGGGAACTCATTCTTCTATCACCTTCTATGTGCTAGAACTCAGTCAGCCCTTTTCTGGTGATTATGGTGAATAGGGTAGGGGTGGGGAGGAAGCTTTAGGGACTAAAGGTCAGGGTAGGACTGCCCTTAGATGGCTCATGGTGGTTATCCTAGAACCAAGCACATGTATGTGCACAAGAATTTGTAGCTGAATGTGATCAAAAGTGTAAACTTCCAGGTGGTGCCTGTGGCTCAAGGAGTAGGACACTGGCCCCACATGCCAGAGGTGGTGGGTTCAAACCCAGCCCTGGCCAAAAACTGCAAAAAAAAAAAAAAAAAAAAAAGTGTAAACTTCCATTGGAGACTACCTCGGTAAGTGCCTGCCAGCCAGACTCCCCTATTCCTCTTATTTCCCTTTGGGAAGCTCCTCTTACCCTACTCTCAGTTTGTGTGGTTCGAGACAATAAGACCCATCCCCAAACAGTTCCAGACATGGGAATGGAAGATGTTCCTGGCCAATGAGTGCTGGCTTGGAACTCTCCTGGAGCCAGTAAAGAGCATGATGACCCTTCCAATAGGGTTGCCATGTAGTGGAACTACAAACAAAGCCTGGAGCCAGCTATACCTGAAGCAGTCCTAAATCTTTTTTTTTATTTTTTTTGAGACAGAGCCTCAAGCTGTCCCCTTGGGTAGAGTGCCATGGCATCACAGCTAATAGCAACCTCCAACTCCTGGGCTCAAACGAGTCTCCTGCCTCTGCCTCCCAAGTAGCTGGGACCACAGGTGCCCACCACAATCCTTGGCTATTTTTTGGTTGCAGCCATCATTGTTGTTTTGGTGGGCCTGGGCTGGATTCGAACTCGCCACCTTAGGTGTATGTGGCTGGCACCAAGCCAGCAGTCCTAAATCTTGACTCTTACATTTGTCACAGCTTGTCTGCCCACTTTACTTTCAGTGGCTCACACTGGCCCCCAGCTCCTACCTTTGGCAGCCTCGATGATCACCTTCAAGCCTCTGTTCTCCTGTACAATCATCTTGGCATGGTCGTGGGCATGGCCAAAGGGCACACGGATGTCGTCATCAAAGGTCATAATGCGCAAGGCCCAGCAGGCCTCCCTGACCACATCGGCATGGTGGCTGTGCTGGGTAATGGCACCAGTCAGAAGGGGCAGCACACCAGCCTTTACCAGGCCCTGCCGATTCTGTTCATGTTTCAGGCAAGCGTGACGCACACAACGGATCCCAGAGCAGGTCAAATCAGCTGCACTGGTGTTCTGGGCCAGCGTGGCTACTAGCAGCTGTAGGCCCTGGGTGTCCAGGAGGTCTGGATGGCCTTCAGTCAATGCCGATAAAGCATTGAGAGCCTGGAGCAGAAGGCCCTGGTTATCTGCAGTGGCAAGCTTCCAGGCAGAGAGAATGATGGGATAGGCATCCTTCTGGGCTGCCAGAAAGTGGCAGGCCTTGTCCTGCTTGCACTGGTCGCAAAAGCTGATCAGGTGTGCCAATACTTCCTCAGGGTGCAAGCAGGCCACAGACTTCTGAAGGTCATCCAAGACCTGGGAGACACCAGAGAAACCTCAGTGTTGCTTTAGCATCTGCACCCCTGTGGGCTTCCCTCCACTGGGATCTGGGCCTGTGGTAGAAGTAATATGGGTCCAGTTCCATCCCTGGCAACTTTCACACCTATGCTTTTAGGAGGCTTGAACTTCAGAGGCCACGGAGAGAGACAGAGATCCAGCCATCTCAGTGTCCCTGCCAAGGAGCTGAATACGTAAGTACAGGCATTAAACATTCTAGCCCTAGCTGCTATCAAGAGGCCCTAAGAGAGACCAACAGAAGAACCAGTCAGCTGAGCCCAGTCAACCAGGCAGAATAGTAAGAAACAATAAAATAGCTGTTGTTTTGGGTTGTTTGTTATGCAGCTGAAATTAACTGGTAAAGCCACTAACAGTTAGTTCTCTGGGGAAAGAGAAAGTTATGGGAGGCACCTGTAGCTTAGTGAGTAGGGTGCTGGCCCCATAAACTGAAGGTGGTGGGTTGAAACCCAGCCCTGGCCAAACTGCAATAAAAAAATAGGCGGGCATTGTGGCGGGCGCCTGTAGTCCCAGCTACTTGGGAGGCTGAGGTAAGAGAATCATGTAAGCCCAAGAGCTGGAGGTTGCTGTGAGCTGTGATACCATAGCACTCTACCAAGGGTGACAAAGTAAGATTCTTTCTCTAAAAAAAAGAAAAAGAAAGAGAAAGCTACCTTCACCAGACCCGCTTCCTGTTTATCATGGATATCTCCGTTTTTGTCTCTCTCATTCACTCCACAAATGTTTACTGAGCATCTGCCAAAGGAAACCATGCTATAAAGAGAGCTGATTTACCTAAATTGAACCCTATACTGTGGGGAAGAAATGAGAGCAAACAATTTGAACTAAATTTACCTGCCATTTAACTACATGACATCAGGACATGCCTTGGCATGAACCAAAGATGAATATGCCCACCTGGAGCTTATGAAATCACTTGCATTTAGGCCCAGTAAGGGTGGTTCTGCACAAAGCATCAACTCAAAGGACTTTGGTTTGGCATAGACAGCCAGGAAAAACAAAGGTGTCAGTTGGCCAACCCTCACTGAGCTCAAATTTGTGGACCTAACTGAACATGCATTATGATACAACAGAATATTAAAAAACAAGTTAAACGGGCAGCTGCGTCTGTGGCTCAAAGGAGTAGGGTGCCAGCCCCATATACCAGAGGTGGTAGGTTCAAACCCAGCCTGGGCCAAAAACTACAAAAAACAAACAAAAAAGTTAACACCAGAGCACATGACTTGAATAGACATTTTTCCAAAGAAGACATACAAATGGCCATTAAAGACATGAAAAGATGTTCAACATCTGGGGCAGCACCTGTTGCTCAGTGAGTAGGGCACTGGCCCCACATACTGAGGGTTGCAGGTTCAAACCCAGCCCTGGCTGAACTGCAACCAAAAAAATAGCCAGGCGTTGTGGTGGGCGCCTATAGTCCCAGATACTCGGGAGGCTGAGGCAAGAGAATCACTTAAGCCCAGGAATTAGGGGTTGCTGTGAGCTGTGTGTGACGTCACGACACTCTACCAAGGGCAACAAAGTGAGACTCTGTATAAAAAAAAAATATGTTCAATATCATTTGTCATTAGAAAAATGCAACAGTAAGATACTATCTCATAACCATTAAGATGGCTACTATCAAAAAATAAGAAAATTGGGTGGTGCTCATGGCTCAGTGGGTAGGGTGCTGGCCACACACACGGAGGTTGTGGCAGGTTTGAACCTGGCCCAGGCCAGCTAAACAACAATGACAACTGCAACAGAGAAAAGCCAGGTGTTGTGATGGGCATCTATAGTCCCAGCTACTTGGTAGGCTGAGGCAAGAGAATCGCTTGAGCCCAAGAGTTTGAGGTTGCTGTGAGCTGTGATGCTATAGCACTCTACTGAGGGTGACATAATAAGACTGTCTCAAAAAAAAAAAGAATTTAGCATAATGCCAAAAGCGTAAGTACCTGAGCAATTAGTGTCAGAGACTATTGAGACCCTTTATACATAAAGTACATCTACAAATCAATAGGAATAGCCCAATACAAAAGGAGCCAGAAGACAAATTCATTTTATTATTATTTTTTTTAACAAGTATCTTCACTTTCTTATTTATTTATTTATATATTTTTTTTGGCCAGGGCTAGGTTTGAACCCACCACCTCTGGCATATGGGGCCAGGGCCCTACTCCTTTGAGCCACAGGTGCCACCTGACTAATTCATTTTAAAATACATTCATTCTTACTAGAAAAGAAAAGCAAAAAACCCAAACCAAGGCTCGGCGCCTATAGCTCAA